GATATCTTTGAGAAGTTTCGTGTTCTTGTTGAAAGACTCTTTAATCATAAAATCAAATCTATCCAATCTGATTTAGGTGCCGAGTACAAAAAGTTGCATTCCTCTCTCACAAAATTAGGGATCTATCATAGACAGTCTCGTTCCTATACTCACAAACAAAATGGCCATGTAGAGCGAAAACATAGACATATTATCGAAACTGGTCTCACTCTCATGGCTCGTATGTCTGTTCCATCTAGGTTTTGGGATTTTGCATTTGAAACTGCGATTTATTTAATTAACAGAATGCCATATGCTATTTTAAATAACTCCAGTCCTCATTCTCTATTGCATAAATCTCCTCATTCATATTCTTTTCTTCGTGTCTTTGGTTGTCCGTGTTATCCTCATCTTCGTCCCTATAATCGTCACAAAATGTCCTATAGGTCCTCTCCATGTGTCTTTCTTGGTTATCCTGAGTCTTTTAGGGGGTATAGATGTATGGACTTACAGACTAATAAGGTGTTCGTGTGCAGGCGTGTCAGATTTGATGACGCTGTTTTTCCCTTTGCTACTAAAATTTCTGTGCAGAAAATTTCAGATTCCCATGATAAACCATGGGTTGCATCTATCCTTCATCCCATGGTGACCACTCACGCTAATCATACTCAGTCAGAACCAGCACAGCCAACTGCAACGGTTCGGACCGAACAAGCGTTGCCGGCAGCCCCTGAACAGACCTGCACTGCACTGCCAGCAGCGCCTATTGAAGCTGAGACAGCGCAACAAGCTGTCTCGGTGGCGGCTCGTCCGCGGGGGCGCCCACGGGGCCAGTCGACTTGGCCGGATGTGATTGGATGTAAATGGGTTTTTCGAACCAAGAGAAAAGCGGATGGTTCAATTAAGAGATACAAAGCCAGGTTGGTAGCAAAGGGGTTTAATCAGGTTCCTGGTCAAGACTTTTTTGACACGTTCAATCCAGTTGTAAAACCAACCACAGTCAGGTTGCTTCTTTCTTTAGTTATATCTTCTGGTTGGACTATGAGACAACTAGATGTTCATAATGCTTTTCTTAATGGTAATTTGACTGAAACTGTTTACATGCGGCAACCACCTGGATATATTGATGTTCAATTTCCTAATCATGTCTTCTTGTTGAAGAGATCATTGTATGGGTTGAAACAGGCTCCAAGAGCTTGGTTTAACCGTCTTCATGCATTTTTATTATCTGTTGGGTTTCAGGCATCGAAAACAGATGTGTCACTATTGTATTACTCCCAGAATTCTACTTATGTTTATCTTATTGTCTATGTTGATGACATTCTAGTGATGGGCAGTGATCCGAATTAGGGATCATGGCGAACCACGTTTCTTTCTTGGCATTGAAACCATTAAATGTAGTGATGGAATTCTTTTATCTCAACAACGATATATGCTGCATATTTTCAAACGTGTTGGTATGACTGATTGCAAACCTCTATCCACTCCAATACCTGTTTCGAAATCTTCTGCTAACTCTATAGATTTATATGATGATCCTACGTAATATTGAAGTCTGGCTAGAGCTCTTGAGTATCTTACTATCACCAGACCAGATTTATCCTTTGCAGTCAATCAACTTTGTAAACACATGCATGCTCCTACGGTCACTCATTGGGAACAAGCCAATCGTGTATTGATGTATGTCAAAGGGACTCTATCTTAACATTTACGTATCCGAAAATCTGAATCCAGAGAATTACATGCCTTCTCTGACTCAGACTGGGATGGCTGCCCTGAGGATCGTAAGTCGACCAGTGGTTATGCTATTTTTCTTCGATCAAATCTTGAGTCTTGGGTATGCAAGAAGCAAAGAACTGTTGCAAGATCCTCTACGGAGGCTGAATACAAGGGGTTAGCTGATGTTTGTGCTGAAGTGGTCTGGGTTCTCTCCCTCTTACGTGAGATTGGCATCACTGGATTTCAGTTCCAAAGCTGTGTTGTGATAATCTTGGTGCTACATATCTGTGTGTTAATCCAAATTTTCATGCTCGCACTAAACATGTTGAAATTGACTATCATTTTGTGAGAGATAGAGTTGCCAAGGGAGAGATTCAAGTCAACTTTATCTCTACCAAAGATCAACTTGCTGACATATTTACAAAAGCTTTAGCAGGTCCTATGTTTTCTTTTCTTAGAGACAAGCTACAGGTCACATCTGTACCATGTGCTTGAGGGAGAGTATTAAGACTCTATCTATGTATTTGAGTCTATTTATGATTCCCAATCCTAGTCTCCATAAGTCTCTTCTTGTATATATACCTAGGTCTTATACTCTTGTCATTCATTACTGTTAATACAATTCATTACAGTTCTCATCCACCTATATTTGTGAACATTTTGGTGTTCAAATTATATGCACTCAACCACCCTATTATACAGTTATACCCGGCAAACTATACCATGGACCAAGGTCTACCTTGCATTGTAGACCTTGGTCCAAAATTAACCTTCAGATTCTGTATCTATAATTCACACATTTTGTACATACAGTTGATACTTTCTATACCTGTAGCTATCACATTATGTTTCAGCAATTATCAAGCCAGATTATGTATCTATAGTTGATACATTTTGTACCTGTAGTTGATCATTTTTGTACCTGTAGCTATCATACTATGTGTCAGCAATTATCAAGTTATTTGTTTACATGTATAGAAATTGTTAACTGTAGATACATAATGTGTTAATTGAAGGTACAAAATTTTTGTATCAAGGTTCACAATACAATATGAAACATGGCCCATGGTATAACAATTGGCTATACCCATGCGAAAATACAATCATTATATTGTGCACCAGGGTGCACAATGCATTGTGCGGCCCGTCTTGCCCAAAACGACGTCGTTTTGTTAATTTGTGTGAGGAGTTGACGCGATGGAGTTTATGTGTATTCTATTATACAATTATGTACATTTGAAACAAGGGATTTTTTTAAGAGTTAAGAGTTTATGTGTATTATATTAAGAGTTATTGTGTATTATATATTATGTTAGATTATGTGTATTATACTTTCAAAAAAGATTATGTGTATTATGTAAGGAGTTTATATACATTATAATATACAATTATGTACATTCTATTATATAATTATGTACATTCAAAACATTGAGATTTTTTTTTAGAAGTTCGAGAAACAGAATTTAAAAAAAAAAAAAAAAAAAACACAAAATGATATCATTTTGGGCCAGAATGCACAATGGTGCACGATATAATTTCCCGCGAAAATATATTACGAATCTTTAGCAAAATTAGAGCCAAACTTTATTTAAAGATAAAGACATGTTGATTAGTGTATTTCGTTCCAATGAGTAGCAGATCAGACCAAGATATTTGAAGCCCAATTCAAAAGCAAACCCAATTTTTGGGCTCTTAAAGACATTGACAAATGTCAACTCATACCAATCTGGCAAATTACGTTGTGCATCTGTGTGCACCATGCATGATGCATACGGATGCAAAAATAACGTCGTTTTGACTAAAAATGCGTCCAACTTAAAAAAAGAAATTCAGTTTTGATTCCCGTCAACAACATTATGTTGTGCATAATTTCTGAATGTATAGTTATGAAATTATGGATATATAGTTATGCAATTCTGGATTTATAGTTATGAAATTATAGATGTGTAGTTATGCAATTCTGAATGTATAGTTATGAAGTTATGCAATTCTGGATTTATAGTTATAAAGTTATGGATTTGTAGTTATGCAATTCTGGATGTATAGTAATGAAGTTATGGATGTGTAGTTATGCAATTCTGGATGTATAGTTATGCAATTCTTGATGTATAGTTATGAAATTATGGATCTGTAATTATGCAATTTTGAATTTTTTTTTTTTTAAGTCAACATCAAAACGACGTCGCGGATGCACAGCATAGCGACTCTACGAATCTATACTTTGAAATTTTGGAAATAGATTTTAATATACAAATATAAACTCTTTATATTTATAGTTTTTTAAATAAAAAAATGAATATTATATTCGAATCAAACCGCTATTAACTAGACTAGTATTTTAACAGTGCATTGTATAGAATAAATTATGTTATTATGAATTTAATTAAAAATTAAAAATTAGAAAAAAAAATGAAAAGTTGTTAAAATGTATAGTATAATAATATTATAAAAAAAATTGTATTTTTAGTTTTCTCAATTGTTCCTTACTAGTCGTTTTAGTTCCTTTTTTTTTTTTTACCATTACAATATAACCCCTAATTGTTCGAAAAATTTACAGTTTTAACCTTTAGGGGCCGTTTGGTTTGAGTTATCTAAAATAACCAAGATTATATTTGGTTGGTTATATAATATTCCTATGTTTGATTGGAGTTATGTAACATTTCCATGGAATAAAATTCACCCTCCACATCACCTTTTTTCCTATTTTAAAGGGAATGTGATTCCCTTTGAAATCTTAGGTATTAAAAGATTTCCTTGGCATTTTATTAACTTTTCCCTTCACTTTCCATACCATTGCTTTCTTTTTTACCGAAAAGTTAAAAAAATAATTAAAAATTAACCTTTCGGTCAAAGCAATCAAGCTAAGTTCACTTTGCTTAACATGAAAAATCAACTTTATGGAAGCCACGCATTTGAATTTTAGAAATTTAAGAATCTGTATGTATGAAGCCACAAGTCAACTTTTCGGATGAAGGAATGGGAATTATATATATATATATATATATATATATATATATATATATATATATATATATATATATATATCAAATTTTGCATGGTTGCATGCATTGGAATATTGAAATGTATGAAAATATATTGAGGGTATTAAAGTAAAATAATCATTATACCATAAATAATAATACTTCAACCAAACATGTTTATATTATATATCTCAGTTTTTACTAAATACATGAATCTAACATTCACAGCAATCCAACAGTCCCTAAAATAATATGACATTCTATGAACCAAACTGCCCCTTAGAGTATTATAACTTTTTTTTTTTTTGATCAAAACACAAGCTAATTCATTAAATCATAATCCAGACAACTGACAAGGAAAGGAGGTGGTATATCAAACCACTCTCCACGACCTGGCTCAGAAAAGGCCTCCCGTGCAATAGCGTGGGCGGCACAATTCGCAGACTGTCTTACAAAAGAGAATTCAACACCACCTACTGTGGCTGCTAACTCTTTAATGTCACCAACTAATAAACCAAATGCAGAAACAAAAGGAACAGAACGTACAGCATTAAACACAATTTGAGAATCTACTTCTACTTCTACATTGCCCATCCCTATACCCATCAGCCAGTTGAGCGCCTCACGTACACTTAAAGCCTCACCCTCATTCACAGAGTAGCTCCCAGCGAAACACATGTTTTTCGCAGCCAGGAACCTGCCATCATCATCGCGTAGCACCCAGCCACATCCCACCCCATTACCACGGAAAGCTGCATCGGTGTTCAGCTTGATCATGCCTCTCCGTGGCCGCATCCACTTGTCTGCATGCATGCGTGGCGCTGTAGCTGTGGAATCCAGATTCGCTGCACACCAATTCTCAAGATAGACCAACGATTGACGCAACATGTGGTCCATGTCAAAGGCAGCGCCCTTCCATACATATTCGTTCCTACTCAGCCATATACCCCAACAAATCATCATGAACTTGGCCAGTTGCTCGTCCTTCAACGCCTGCACACCAGCGAAGAACCACGAATTGGCATCATTGCTGGGCGGACATATGTGTATCCCCAGGTTACTCCATGCTGCTACCACCCTTGGGCAAAGCGCAAACATATGGGTCGTTGATTCCTCCTCATTCATACACATGTGGCACTGGACCGCAACACTCACCCTCCGCGCATTCAAGGCATCCCTGGTCAGCAGACAACCCGAAGCCAACTGCCAGCCGAACGATTTCACTTTTGGTAGAACATGGACGTTACAAAATTTCAGCCAGGGGCGTGCGTCGCGATCAACGAGTGTAAGGTGTTTATAACATGATTTCACAGTATAAGCTCCTTTCGAATCCCAAAACCAATACCAGCCGTCCGGAGGCTTGCGCAAGCTAATAGGGATGCTGAGAATTAAATTTGCATCTCGGGTATCAAACACATCCCGGACACAATCAACATCCCACACCATGCCTTGTACATTCATCAAAGAAGAGACTGGTGCTTCAGAAATAACCATGGGCAGACCAGTGCGGATATATGGATCATCCCCCACAGGTAGCCATGGTTCAAAACCTATCTTGGTGTCTCGCCCATCCCCTATATACCGCCTACATCCTTGCCTCATGATGCCCCTGACTGCCAGCATCCCACGCCAGATGAACGAAGGATTGCTACCTTCAACGGCTTCAAAGTAGGTGGTGTTCGGGAAGTACCTACCTTTGAACACACGCGAAACAAGGGAAGCTGGCCTGGTTATAAGGCGCCAAGCCTGCTTGCCCAGGAGAGCATGGTTCATCTCGTGTAGTCGTCGAAAGCCCATGCCACCGCTTGCCTTCGGGGCACATAACCCCGCCCAGGTGCGCCATCTCATCCCTTTCCCATTCCCCAGCCTACCGGTCCACCAGTACTCATTCATAATCGTCTCTATCTCCTTGCACAGGCCTGCCGGTAATAGGAAGACCATCATCGCGTACACCAGCATTGACTGAACTACATTCTTCAGCAAGACTTCCCTGCCAACCTGGGATAGAAGTTTAGCGTTCCAACTTCTGATCCTTGCTAGTATACGGTCCTTCACAAACCCCAGGATGTGTTTCTTCTTCTGGCCAACCACAGCGGGTAAGCCAAGGTATTTCCCACCAGGGTCCCCCTCCGTCACCCCAAGCACGTCAATGATTTCTCCCCTGTGTTGCTGCCCAACATTTGCACTGAAGTATATTGTGGATTTGTCGTAATTCACATGTTGTCCCGAAGCTGCAGCGTAGGTGTCGAGTACATACCTCATGTTCAAACTCTCAGGGATATTTGCCCTTAAGAATAGGAAGCAATCATCCGCGAACAATAAGTGGGAGATTGGTGGTGCGTGCCTGGCAATGGATATCCCATGTAGTCTCCCAGCTCTCATTTGCTTTTCTATTAAACCGCTCAATCCTTCAGTGACAAGCAGAAAAAGGTATGGGGACAGTGGGTCACCCTGTCGAATGCCTCTGCTGGGGGTTATAGGACCAAGCTGATGTTGCGCGTGTAGCACGTGATACTTCACCGATGTCACTGTCCCGAGAATAATATCAATCCAATGGCGTGAGAACCCCATCTTCCCCATAACGGCCTCTAAGAATCCCCATTCCACCCGGTCGTATGCTTTGCTCATATCGACCTTCATCGCAACCATCCCCTTATGACCCTGGGTCTTCGACATTATCGGTTATTAAGCGACCTGGTACGAACGCACTTTGCGCACTGTTAATCAACTTATGCAAAAGGGGCTTCAGCCTGTTAGCACATACTTTAGCAGCTATTTTGTACACCACGTTACATAATGCAATCGGGCGCAAGTCCTTCATTGTTTTAGGTGTGTCTTTTTTCAGCACTAGGACAATCAGCGTATCACTAGCCTTAGCCGGCAGTTGCGCGGTCTGCATGAAGTCCCTACAGAACACAGTCACCTCGCCCCCGAAAATGTCCCAGAAGTGCTGGTAGAACCCCGGCCCGAACCCATCCGGTCCCGGAGACTTATCCGGATGCATCTGATTCACAGCCTCGTGTACCTCGTCCCTGCTTAACGGTTGGAGCAACATGTCGTTTTCATGCGGCGTTACACTCGGACTAATGCAATCAATAACCTCTTCCATGTCCCCTTGGTTTGCAGTAAATAAGTTGCTGAAATAATCAATCATAAGGTCCCCTAGTTCGCCCTCGTCCGTAATCCAGCGGCCATCATCAGTCTTCAGCCGGTGGATCTTGTTTCTGCGCCGCCTTGTTTTTAGGGAGTTGTGGAAGAATTTACTGTTGACATCCCCTCCCTTGTACCAGTATTCCTTTGCTCGTTGCCTCCAGTACCCGTGCTGTTGTTCGAGCAAGAAAAGGTACTCCTTCTCGACAGCAGCATACTCGCCAAACCCCCGCGCATCACACCGCGAGTGGAGTGCTTCCATGCGAGCCTTGCATTGGTCAATTCTCCGTTGGAACTGTCTGTTGTAGCTACGGCCCCACCGCCCGACATCCTAGCTACACCGCGCTATCCTTGTCAGAGTATCCAGTCCCGTTGTTCTCTCCCAGCTGTGCGACACAATCTCACAACACATGTCCTCCCGCAGCCAAATGTTGTCAAAGCAAAATCGGGCCCTCCTTGTTTCACGCCGCTCCGCTGTCGGGTTTAGGATTAGCGGCAAATGATCGCTATAGGGGAAATGGATGGAGCTAGCAGTGGCGCGATCAAACATGGTTAACCAACTGTCAGAGCATAGAACACGATCCAGCTTTTCTTCCACCATGTTGGGAGTTCCACGCGACCGATGCCATGTAAACTGGTAGCCTGAGAAAGGAAGATCCTGTAAGCCGCAATCTAGCACAGCCTCTCGGAAGCCCCTGATACACCACGGTGGATGCGGTGCTCGGCCTCGCTTCTCGGATTGGTCGAGGAGGTCATTGAAGTCCCCCATCACCAACCACGGTAACATGCTTTGCGCTGCCAGCTGCCTCATAAACTGCCACGCACTACGCCTATGTTGTCGTTTGGGATATCCATAATACCCCGTAAACCTCCATGTTGGGCTCCCCACATCCAAAGATACGTAACAGTCGATGTGATTGTTCGAGTATCCCATGACAGTAAGGTCCACGGCCTTAGACCAAAGAAGCGCCAACCCCCCCTTATGACGATCGGCATCCACCACGAACAGACCCTCAAACCCCAGTTGAACCCTTATTGGCTCCATTCTCTGCGTATCCACGAAAGTCTCCATCAGTAAAACCACTTGCGGCCTCTTCGAGCGGACCAAGTCCGCTAGCACACGAATTGCCGTCGGGTTGCCAAGCCCCCGGCAATTCCAACTCAGGAGACTCATAATGCTCGGCGGGCTTGCGCCGCAAGTCCCGCCGTTTGATTGTCCATTGGATCCTCCGTCTCATATTCCATTCCTTCCATATCGACCCTCTTACGCTTCGGATCGACAAGCACGACATCTGTGCCACCGCTGCCCGATGCTTTGGCCGACGTGGTAGCGACATCGTCGCACCAGCCCGGCGGCTTCCACTCCTTGCGCTCGTCATCCAACTCTGGGGCCAACCACCTTTGGCCTACAGTAGGCACATTCTTCCTTGTTCCCGCCCTTAGCCAGGCCCCGTAAGGTTTGTTCACTCTCGGGTCGACCCCTTGTGCGATCTTAGGACAGACCTTGTCGCCATGTCCAATGACACCACATATAAAGCAGAAAGTCGGTAGGCACTCATAGCGAAAGTCCACCACAGCCCACTGACCATCTCCCTTCCGAAGCTTCATCTGCTTCCTCAGGGGCCTTGTTACATCAACGGTTACTCGTACCCGGTAGAACGTGCGCATCGAGCCACCGAAGTTCTTTTCATCTGCCTGGACTAGCGTTCCTAAGAAGGATCCGATGGCGGAGACCACAACTTCAGAACGGAGCCCCGCTGGTAAGGAGTGGATTTGAACCCAGAAGTCCGCCTGGTTAAGGGGGACGACCTCTGGATCCTCACCAGGGTGAAGCTTGTGCAGGATCAAGAGGTTTTGCTCGTATGTCCAAGGCCCATCAGCAAGGATGCGGTTGAGGTCCGTCTCGTGGTAGAACCGTATCAGGAACCTTTGCGGTTGCAGTTGTCGCATTGTAACACCCATAGCCGGTTGCCACACCGCAGCCATGGTGTCCTAGAAGAAGAGGAACTTGACCGTCCGGTTGGTCACCAGGAGGCCTGCCACACAGAAGCTGCCCTCCCCGCTCTGGTCCACGATCTGCACATTCTGCAGCTGTAAAGCTGCGTCCTCATCGTCAACATCAGCTAGAGTCAAGTTTTCACACAAGTGGGAGATATCCTCATGGCTGTCGGCAGCCATGCTCTCGTAGTTGCGGTGGTGGAGAACTGTTCGTAAAGGTGGGGAACTGTAGGTACAGGTGGCGAACTGCTTTTAAAAGGTGGAGAACTGCTTACAAAAGGTGGAGAACTGCTCACAAAAGGTGGAGGAAAACTGCTCACGAAGCGGTGAGAGGAAAATTTTTTTTTTTTTTTTTTTTTTTATTTTGTTGCTTTTTTTTTTCTTTAGAGTATTATAACTATTAAACTCTATTAAAAAAATTTTTTAGAAACATGTGCAATTTAGTATTTTTTTAATATTTATTCTTTAATTGTAATCTTCTTTAGTCTCGTTATTTCATTTGTAAAATAAAAATACAATTTTAAAAAGTTTGTGCAGAGAAAATATGGATAATGTACCACAATTGAGGATGTCAAATTTAGAAAAAAATATTGTCAATTTTCTATTTTAATTTTTACATGAAATACCAAGATTGAAAAAGTAATTTAGAATTGAGATAATAAATTAAAAAAAAAAAAAAAAAAAAAAAACCTGATGTACTATTTTTTTTACACAAAAAAAAAAAAAAAAAAAAAAAAAAAAAAAAAAAAAACCTCATGTACTAAGTAAAATTCAAACAGAATTTAATAATTTTGTTGCTTGTGTTAAAAGTACAATTTTTTAAGAGTTAGAAGTGTATATTGTAACAATAAAAAGTTATGGACAAAAATGATTAGCAAGAAATAATTAAGGGACTAAAAATGCATATGTAATTGAACTTCTCATATGTATAGTTTGGTAAGTATTTTCATAGCATACAAAATTAAAATTAAAATTTTGCATAGTTAATATAACCTCTAGTTAGGTACAGATTTAGGTAAATTTATAAACAATATTTATATAATTTAAATGATTTATTTCTAATTATATCTCACATATATTATAATTAGAACAATATGAATAATAATAATAAGGGAATTATATTTAGAAAACAAAATATTTATATTTTAAATTTTATATGTGTTGATTTAGACCCCTAATGAGATGTATTTTCTTATGTGAAATTATAATGCATTGTTTGTGCACATAATACTTACTTAGGAAAAAATTTTATAATAAGATTTCCTAATTATAACTTATATTGCTAGATTTATAATTAAAATAACTATGCTACCCGTGCGATGTACAGATAATAACACATTTTCATTTTTAGAGTTATTATATATGTACTCTCAAATTCTATTTCCCAATTTTATTGCACGATGTGACAAATATAGATTTGTTATTTTCACCATGTAGGTCTTAGGAAAAATGTTTACATCAATGACTTGTGAGAGGGAGAAGAACTGAAGAAGGTGGAAGTAGAAAATGAAAGTCCACCAAGTATTTTTCATTTAATAATTATATTATGTATAACATTTATATAGTGCAAAATAAACAAAGAAATAAAATATTATTATGATATTCTTACAATCTCTTATTATAATAAAGTATGTATAGTATCTTGTATCAAATTTTACTTTCTTTATAATGAATCAGTCTTGGGATTAATTTTTTTTTTTAAAGAAAAAATCACAGACCCATCACTTATCAGACTCCAAAAATACAATGGTGATACAAAGAGGGCTATACCAAAAAAAGACATAGATTGAACCGGATTTGTGTGTATTTATAGGTAAGTGACAGCTATAAGCTAGGTGCGGAGTGACTTTGATAGACACAAATTTTAAATTTCAAAATTTTAATTAAATGTAGACACCACAAAAAATAATGTATATGGCTACCTAAAGGTATCGAAATTTGCATCTATTAGACTATTATAATAAATGTAACTCCTAAATGTAATATTAGTAAATACAGGTTATGTGTGTTGTTTCATATTTCCAAAGATGGTATATTTCTTTGATAAATGCAAGTCATGCGAATTGCTTCTTACGAATATAAATAATAATAATAATTTACATTCTCAAATATATATTAATTTCAATAGCATTGACATTTCAATCATGTTAGGTTTTAATGACAAATTACATCACGGACCCTAGTCCAAAACAACAAGTTTTATATTAAGTGTCAATTACTGCAGCATATTTAGTACCATTATCGTATACTATGTTCATAATATTTGTTCTATATGTCCGTAAACTAAACCTTAATGTCCATAAACACTAAACTAAATGTACATCATATATGCCAATGACCTTGTGATTTAGTGGCACGAAGTGGCTCTCCCAAATGGGTGATCACCGGTTCGAGCCCCAATGGGGGCCGTATTGACTCTTTGTGCTTCAAAAGGTTGAGAAAGTAGCTATGAACAGATACTACATTGTAACAGAGTCAGTTGTACTCAAAAAATGTACATCATATGTATTTTTATTCACTTTTTAATAGATTCATAATATTCCTTTTATATGTTTATAAAAACAAAGCTTAATGTACATAAACGTTATACTACAAATGCATTATGTTTAATAACATCCGTCATGTACTATATGTTCATAAACTATTGGGCGTCAGTTGGGGTGTCCGAGTTCAGCCCCTGCTCAATTCAAGATGTGGCGTTGTGTCTTGCAGTGGAGGGATGTGGTTAAATGGTTAATGTCCACCTACTTATCACCAATTGGTTTTAAGTAGGATACGAAAACTAGATAGCCAAAGAACTTAGTAGTCAAGCGTGCTTGACTTACAACAGTCACATGATGATTGACCAATTGGCAAGTAAGTATAGTGCAACGCTGAAATCCAACAATTGGTATCGGAGTAGAGGTCACGGATTTGAATCGCCGAGATGTGGGCGTAGGTCGAGCCAAGTCTAGTATCAGAAGGGGTATGATGGACGTGTAGGCTAAGGACCGAGTCAGGCCTGCTGCGCAACTAGGCTTGGTGTCCAAAAGTTGCGGCAGGTGCTGGGAGGAAAATTGTTGGGCGTCGGCTGGGTTAGCTAAGTTCAGTCCCTACTCGATTTGAGACATGGCGTAGTGGCTTACCATGGAGGGATGTGGTTAAATGGTTAATTTCCACCTACTTATCACCAATAGGTTTAAGTAGGATATGGCAACCTGATTGCCAAAAAACTCAGTGGTTAAGCGTGCTTGACTTACAGCAGTAACAAGATGGGTGATTCACTAGGAAGTAACCATAGTGCAGTGTTGAAATCCAACATAAACACTAAACTAAATTTACATCATATGTATTTGCATTCATTCTATAGTAGGCTTAATATATATATATATAAACATTATACTACAGACATATCATGTTTAATAACATTCGTCTTGTACTATGTTCATAATATTTTTTCTATATGTCCATATACGTAAACCTTAATACCCATAAATGCTAAACTAAATGTACATCATATGTATTTACATTCACTCTATAGTATATGTTCATAAAAGCAAAGTTGAATGTACATAAACATTACACTAAAATAATGACTTTATGTACCTATAGATTTATTTTAAAGAAATAGAAATAAAAAATGTATGGGTATCATTTAAAAGATCTCAATTAGAACTTTTAATGATATGTCTTTTTATACATTAATTTTGTTTTAGGATAAGTTCTTCATGATTACCATCTTCTTCTGGAACCTCTGGTACATCCTCAACTCCTTCCGAAACCCTAGAAGTATCAGCTTCTTCCGTAGTGATTTCTAGAACATCCACTCCTTCCATATAGTGTTGAAAAAATCGCAAAGCAACCATTTTTTTAACATTTTTTATATTTTTAAAACTTGATAATTTTGAACCATTTGATACTTTAATAGCTAATACTAAAATATTAAATATTAACCTAAAAAAAATCTAAAATTTTAAATTGTATAAAATGTTAATGAATCAAAACACAATTCCACAAATTAAAGTACAACTTACAAAGTATAGTTCCAAACTTCCAAATCAATTCATAGACTCATAGTATCAATGACGTCGTTTTGAATGATTTAGGTTATTTCGCTTAAAATGACATTGTTTTGAACGAAATAAACCATTTTTAAAAAAAAAAAAAAATGAAACAATAACTCATCGGTCGACTAGGCAGCCTAGTCGACCATTACGGTGATATTCTAAGCAGCCGACCAGAACGTAGTGCTTAGGCGCCGAGGCTCGAATTTTGCAACAATTGTTCCATATCAGTTGTTGAGATTTTGGTTTCATCCGAAATTCAACCTATCCATCCAATAAATGCAAACATTAATTCTTTCGATATTCAATATGTCATTCCGATAGTTGTTTCTTAGACTTCTTCGAATAGGTTCCTCCGGATTTCAACATATCATTCCGATAAGAAAATTTTATTACTCCAAACTTAGCATTCCAAGCTCATGTTTGAGTTGATTAAGCCATGACTCACATAGAGTTGATAATCAAATTATTTGTCAGTACAAACATATTCCAATTTGATATTCTTCTTCTCCACATGATCACTAATGCAGTGATGACGAATATCAATATGCTTGGTCCTTGAATAATGAAGAACTGAATTTTCAATTATTGCAATGGCACTTGTGTTATCACACAAAATGCTGATTTCGTTAGCCTCTACTCCATAGTCCATTAGTTGTTTCTTCGTCCATAAGACTTGAGCACAACAACTTCTGGCAACACTATACTTAGCTTCTATCATTGAGGTCGCTAAGGAATTCTTCTTCTTGCTAAACCAAGACATGAGCATTCCTCGTAAGAATTGGCATGTTCCAAATGTGCTTTTCTTGTCTATTTTCCAACTTGCAAAATCTGCATCATTATAACCAATTAGATCAATACATCCTTCCTTATCATACCATAATCCAACATTCCGAATGCCTTTGAGGTATCTTAAGATCTTCTTGGTTGCCTGAAGATGACTTTCTTTTGGATTAGCTTGGAATCTGGCACACACTCCGACTACAAAGGTGATGTCTAGTCTGCTAGCCATCAAATTAAAAAGAGATCTAATCATGCCTTTAAACATACTCTAATCCTCAGTTTTGTCATCTTGATCTAAGTCCATCTTTATTGAGGTAATCATATGAATATTGACTGTTGATTTGTCTTCCATTCCAAACTTATTAATAAAACTCCTTGTATACTTGGCTTGATTGATGAATATTCCTTCCTTCAATTGCTTGACTTGTAGACTAAGGAAATAATTAAGTTCACCCATCATGCTCATCTCAAATTTTACTTTTCATGAGGATAGAAAACGTGATTAGATGATCCAAAAATAATATCATCCTACATAAATTTGAACTAATAAAATGTGACTATCATCTTCAATCATGAAAAAGGTCTTGTCCACACTGCCTTTGCAAAATTCCTTGTTGACCAAGAAATTTGATAATGTGTAATACCATGTCCTTTGGTGCTTGCTTCAAACAATATAAATAGAGCCTTCTTAAGTCTATACACCATATTTTCATCTCCTTTGATGATAAATTATGGTGGTTGTCTCTACATAGACTTCTTCCTCATGCAATCTATTTAAGAAAGCGCTCTTGACATCCATTTAATATACTATGAAGTTCATGTGAGTTCCATAGGCTAGGAACATTCTTATAGCTTCCAGTCTTTCTACTGGAGAAAAGGTTTCATCAAAATCTTTTTCTTCTTCATGACAATAACCTTTTGCAACAAGACGAGCTTTGTTTCGAACGTAACTACATCTTCATTCATTTTGTTCTGGAAAACCCATTTTTCCTATAACATTTTGATGCTTAGGTCTTGAAACCAACTCCCATACTTGGTTTCTTGCAAAATTGATTCAGGTCTTCATGCATGGCTTGAATCTAATCTGAATCAACTAGAGCTTGTTCAATTTACTTAAGCTCAATTTGAGAAATTGAAGGATGAAAACATAGTTTCATTCTACTTTGATGATCTAGAATGAATCCCTTTATGTACATTGCTAATAACTGGCTTAGGTGGATGATCTCTGAGCCATCTCACATCCGGAGCAATTTCTAGGGGTATGCTTAGATGCGTAGAGATGTCCCCCATTTGATCGGCTTGTACTGATGATACTTGCATTTTCATCGGTTGATCAGCAACTGTATATTCTACTGGTTGATATGTAATTGTAGGTTTTTCCTACATACAAACATATGTTTCCTTTCAGATGGATTGGTATTCTTCATCATCATCGACTTCTTCTAGTAGGATGTTGCGAGGTAGCATCACATAGGGTCGATCACTTATGCTAAGCTTCTGAACATCTTTAGTGATCTGATCACATATATCACCAGTGTTGATCATAAGCTCATCAAATACAACATGAATAAATTCCTCAGTGATCATAGTTCTTTTATTGAGAACTTCGAATGCCTTGTTCATTTGAGAATATCCAAGAAATATTGCTTCATCAGCTCTTTCATCAAAACTCAAGATTGCGACATCCCATTATAATGAACATAGTATTTACAACCAAATGTATGAAAATACAATATGTTTGGCTTTCTTCTAGTCCACAAATTCATGAGTCTTTTGATGAAACTTGTGAATCATGAAGCGATTCTAATTATGACCTTGTATTGGTTGCTTCCGCCCAAAACCTTTTAGGCAATTTGTCTTCTGCAATCATAGTGCGAATGACTTCTTTGATGGTGTGGTTCATCCGTTCTGCCACGCCATTTTGTTGAGGGGTTCTAGCTAATGATAGTTGATGAAGTATGACATTGGATTCACAATATAATTTGATGGATTGAGTCACGAACTCCATTCCTCTATATAAATAAATCTTGACAATTTAAAGTCTCTTCTCATTATGGAATAACTTGAGTGTATCCGATAGTCTTTTTAGAGTCTCAATCTCTTTGTCTAGAGATATTGCACAAGTATATCTTGTATAGTCAACTACAATCACAAGGGTCTTCTTGCCGCTAATGCTTAGCAGATCAATTGGTCTAAATTGGTCCATGTGCAATAAGCTCAAGGTCTTGTTGATGAAGGATGTGGTTTGCTTTAAATGAGGATCTAATATGTTTCCCCCTTTTACATGCATCACAGAAGCCTTTCATCTCAATGACAATGTTGGGTAATCCAATGACTAGATTCTTCTGAGAAAATTTGTTGATCATCTTGAAATTAAGATGACTCATCTTTTTGTGTCAAAGCCAACTCAATTCCTCATATCCCTTTGCTTAGCAAACACAAAATTGTTTCTACGGAATACTAATCAACTATATAGACATTCTTTTTTTTTTCCCTTCCGATAATCACAATTTTCCTATATTCTATGCTTCTGATCTTGCATTCCTTCTCGCAAAATTCAACTATGTAGCCTTTGTCGCATAATTGACTAGTGCGAGAAGATTGAATTTGAGTCCTTTCATGTATGAATGTCTTTAATCTCCGGTTGTTTCTTCTAATTGATCCAACGCCATTGGTTTTGCCTGGTTTCTCATTTCCTGCAAATATGACTCTTGGTCCATATATTTTCTTGAAATCTTTAAGAAAAGTCTTCTTTCTGGTCCTATGCTTGGATCAACCACTATCAATGTACCACACTTCTTTGCATTTAGTTGTCTCCTTGCATTCCTTAATCAATTTAAATGAGATTTAGGTACCCAAACAAGTTTGGGTCCTCAAAGGTTAGCTATATAGGATGGGCAATAGTTTCAATCTAGAATGTCATTTTGCTTCAATGGATCTAGGTTGTTTTGCTATGTAGTGAAAATATAGTCATAACGAAAGTAGAGGCTCTACTTTGGCCCCTATGGCAAGCTTAATTAATTGCAATGATGTAGGAGTATTAAGCATGTTACAATATACTTTATATCTCTTGGCAATCCTCACTGAATAAGAGGTCCCAAGCTCTCATTGGCGAGCTACTCAGTGATTTTTCATGAGTTTGGAAGGCATGTAGCGCAGCTACTCCTATTGGTCTTATTAGTTGTGTGCAATATCCAAACTTGGCTAAAGTGCTTGCTTAGCTTATAAGGGGATGCTATCTTATTGGTTGGAGGAATTATATTGAAACGGGCCGATGATTTCAACAACATAATTTTTTTTTTAGATAAAATGCTTAAATTTCTACTTGGGTTTGAATGACGGTACTCTTAAGATCGGTTACTGTAACACCCTCGGTTTCACAACATAACTTAAGGCATTTAACTTAGCAACAACAGATAATAAAAGTCTAATAGAAAAACAAACTGCGGAAACAACAAGTCTAAACCAGGGAGTTATGCCACACTTAGGTTAAACAAGGCTAAGTGCTAAGGCTGAAACAACTTAAATCCAAAGCATAAGTCTAATAAAAACATAAGTCTAACAAAACGGGTTCAACTACATCACAAAAGATGACAACGTAGTCTGAGGCAATGAAATACAACGATCTAAGCTAACTAGGCAGCTCATCCAACTACGCTCTCTCAAAGGGAGACTTTACTGCATACCAGAAAGCAGTTTTAAAAGAATTAGCGAGAAATGCTAAGTAACTTCACTCCATAATGTAAAACTACATAGATATACTTTTATATTTCAAAATAGGTTTTGCAACAGTATGACTACATACATATGTCATAGCAACAAACTTAGCTAAAGGAATTCAACAAGTGATACTCAATCAACAATATACAATTATAGGGGCACTAGACCCGTTATCAACAAATACGAGGTTCAATACTCAACTCAAAATAGATAATCAAAGCAATGACTCAATTCCAATAATCAAGCTCAACTCAAGAATAGGATATAATATAATCAACGCAATAGAATGATTCAATCAACAAGTTAGATTCCAAAAGAATATCAACAGGAGATAGAGTTCAATAGATAGGTAACACAACTGTACGATTCAAGTATGGTTCAATTCTCATTACAATCATCTCAACAATATCAATCTCAAATTCAAGTCAACACAGGGATATCAACAATATCAATAACCACAATCAATCTCAATGATATCAACATTCAATAATAGTGGATCAGTGTGGAGAGCTTCCAGACAGCTCAAGTCCACTCAGGGACGCAATCTCACAAGTTCACGGGGTCGTAGACCCCAATATTGATTTCACAGTCATTCTCAATGACTCGAATAATGGATCAGCTCTAATCCCTTAAGTGTATACACCCCTATTGGGTTCTCCAATCCCAATAAGTAGAATTAGATCCGACAACTCAGAATACGTTTTGACCGGGTTGCCCAACAAATCAAATATCAATCCTTGCATTTAATTCAAATAAGCCCCACACTATCCACTTTGCCAGCATATCAATTTCATCGTCAAGAATCAAGGTTTCAATTCAACAAGAGAGTCATATGAAGCAAAGACAATAGAATAAACTCTTAAGAGAACAATAATCAACATCAAGTTCATAGGAATAGCTCAACAAAGATGGATTCCAAGAATATATCATCAACCATTAATCTTCAAACCAATAACTCAATAGATTCCAAAAAAAGGGGATTCAAGGATAATAAAAGCAAGTCAAATTCAATAAGATTCCAAGAATAGGGCTTTCAACAAGATCATACTAGCCTCAAGAATTCAATATACTAGCGTGCAATCAAATACAAGCACACAAGAATACTTATAACGAGTTAATAAGCATTCAGATCAACAAATTCAATAATAGATCGTAGGGTTATCAAGAATAGATTATATCAAAGGATTCAAGATCCAAACTCAATCAAAGCAAGCCTAAAATACTCGGTTCTAGACTATGGAAGGTTTCAATAAACATTTCAAACCAACTGCGAGCATTTAGAATTACACAGTGCAAGAAAACAGCCAAAATGAACTAAGAGGGGGGTTCGATGGGTGGAACTACCCGCCTGAACCACCCTTGGGAACGTAACAGGGAGTTTGGACGGGTACTACCACCCTCAGCCTCCTAGAAGGGGGTTCCCCACGCCTTGGACCCTCCTTCTAGGTCAAATTTCAACAATCCACCAGTAAGCTTAGAATGAGTTCCCAGAATGTAAAATACACTTCCAGTAGGTTTGAATCAAGGACTATCATGTCATAAATCAACAAGAAAATATAGGATACAAGGTTGACATAATAACACAACAAGATACTCAAGATTCAACATCAACACCTAGCATATAAACAAGAAATATGCTCATGAAAAACCAAAACACAGTGAACATTTCATTATAGAGTGAAAATAGATTTTCAGGACATGGAGTTACCTTCTAGCTTAGCAAAACACTTCCACAATCTCCCTAGACCATCCTAGCAAGCCCCATCTCCAAGATCATCTTCAAAAGCCCCCAAAATCCAACACACAAAAGAGTAAAGACTTAGAAAGATGAAGACACTAGGAATGAAAAAGGTCTAGGAGCTATTATCTTACCATTTCTTAGCTCAAAATGCCATAAAGGTGAAGTCTTGGCTTGATTTCTTGTGTAGAAAATGAAGAACAATTTTAGGTAGGAAGTGAGAGGAAAATGGCGTGAAAGGCAAGGGGAAAAAGGAAAAGTTGTCTAGGTCTTTGTCTTGCTAGGGTATGTAGAGATACATTCGGTTATAAGAGTTGTATAAATGGGTTTATGATAGTGTGTGGGCTTTTAATGGGATAATGGATTAGATTGGACCTTCATAAAACAATTATAAGGAAGACATAGTCCATATTTTATATATGTGTATAACAAGACTAGGCCCACTTTATTGTAAGGGATTATATAGATATATATGGGAATATAGAGGTAGGAATTTGGGCTTTAGATGAATTTATCACTAGGAATAATTGGATTAAAGGTTGGGCTTTAAGGGATTATTAATTCCTCATTAGAAAGAATAATTGTAGGAATTAATTCGGGAATTAAGGTAATTTTTTGCGGTGTCACAGTTACATTTGGTTCAATCTAATGAAAATGTAATAGTCAGTGAATCACGTTAAGGAGTCAATAAACTATATAACTCATCATGTCTTTGCTAGAGGTGAAAGCTTTCAGTCTAGTGCAGAGGTAGGTATGGAATGACATTCCTCGATCGTATTCTCTTGACTTGATTATATTCCTCCGTATAAATGAAGTTATTTGCATTTGCTTTCACCAAAATAAAATAAAATGATAGTATATAGATCTGTTGTTAACATTCAACCGGAACAAAAGAAAAAGCATAAAATGAGGTGAGGTCAATGAGTCCATGACCCAATTTCCGTTTTGATTAAGGTGCAATGAACATGGCCTATGACCAAATTGAAAAGTCATTTCCCACATCGCGGTTTCCCCTAGGGGTTTGGACGGGTTGGGGCAATTAAATAAACATATATAATTTGAATTTCAACATTGTCTATAGTACACGGAAGCATTGATATTTTTTATTTAAATACTCCAAACAAAATACTATTTTATTGCACTGTAGCATGAGTGAGCTTGTCGTGTGCCACTACCAAATTATTTCAATATATATATTTTAAAACTAGTGTTTAAATAAACATATCCACCATGTTCGGTAAGGTGAAAATAATATAATATAATATAATATATAATAATATGATATAATATAATACAATATAAAAAATTCAATGTTCAAGATATGATTGATTTATTGATAAACAAATGTGGACTTGTGATGAGTTTGATTCCTTTCATCCACACATGCACTATTACACAATTCAAACCATAATTATCTTCATGTGTCGTTTAGGTTGTATTTAGTTACTAGCAATTTATATATAGCTAATTACCAAACTCCCCGTTATCAAAAAACTTAAATATTTCTTATAATACTATATAACCTTAAAATTTAAAGTTTTATTCTTCTTGTATAATATGGTTATTCTTTAATTATTTTTTTTATTTTATTAGTCATTACAAATCGAATGAAAAAAGTATAAACTTATGAAAAAATAAATAGTATTTTCTTTCTAATGATAATGATCATTGATTATATTAAGAAGTAATATTATTAACAATAATAAAATAAAATAAAGGACATCTTATTTTATTTTAAAATTCTTTGTTGAATTGAATTTTATTCCATTTCCCCAAATGAAAGCGAAGACAGGTCCTACACAAGGCCACGAAGGAAAGTGTGCCACACTAATATATTCTTAGATAACATCTTAAACACCCATATCACTAATTAATTTTTTAGATAATGCTAATTAATTAATAATTACTCATTAATTAATTATGCAACAGACATTTATCATATCCCAAGTGCTGTAAAAGTCTATCACATTACACGCTTGTCGCACTTTAATTTGCAACTTTTTTTTCTACTTTCCATTTCATCCTCTATTTATAGCAAAAAATGTTGCTTTTATCTTATTCTAATACTATCATCTTTAAAAAGGAATACTTTCTTGTAGTCATTTGTCAGTTAAGATCACAAGACGGAGTCTTTTAAATCACTTGATACTTTAATAGTACACACCTTTTTCATTTTTGGTAAGAAGCACCGAAATTTTTATATAAAAAATATTGACGGTGTACTTTTTAAAATTGGACCTTATATTTTGTCAAACGGACATAGTAAAAGAGTACTCACAATTTATAAATTAAAATGTATAATTTTATAAAGTATATGACGACATTGTCACCTACAGCATTGTATATACAAATATTTCTAGTGTTTATATAATAAAATAATAGATACAATAAAAATATGATGTGTATGGCCATTATAAAATTCTTATATTATAATGTGTATATTTTAAACTCGTAGTTGAATTAAAGTAGTGTTTAAAGAAAAGAGAGATGGATCGGAGAAAGAGAGAAAGATGGCATTTCATTAGTAATATTTGGGTTGGGTTGGGCTGATGTGAATTGAATTATTTAACTCTTACCGAAGCTATAATTTAAAAGAATAAAATAAAAGAGTTGCACATACATTCACAATTTCACATGCCGCCACCCTCTTTAACCTCTAATCTAGATTCTAGACCTTATTTATACATGTTAATGATTCTAGACCTTATTTATACATGTAAATTGATGTTACTATTTTTTATTTATTTTTTATTTTTTGACAAAAAGGTAGAATCGACTGCTCAAAGTTCAATAGTTAATTTATGGAGGGATTAAATCACGGTGACTTAATTGATTCCTTATTTTGAGATATTGAAATCACACTATTGCTTATGAAATTCGATCATTTATTTCTTGTGACAAATTTTACACTCTGCGAGTCTGCGACCAATCGAGTTATCCATGCAGATAAGTTAATTACTACTTTTCAATTCATTGTGTTAGGAAATATTGCAATCATTATATCGTGGGATGGACCCTGTTCTATATTATGTATTTTTAATTTATTTATCTATAATTTATATATTATATACTACTGGAAATTATAAAATTTCCGACCACCTGAAAAGTGATCTTAAATCAAGTTGAAAGCCTTGTTCCGACCACTTTTGGTATCCGGAAAAACCTTTCTTGCTGTCTTTGACCACTTTTTGCATTCAACTTGATTTAAGATCACTTTCAGGTGGTCGGAAATTCAATAATTTCCAGCAGTGGCGATTAAGCTTAAAACAATTTTAAAATATATACATAATTTATTAACTAAGTATACATAATATGTTAACAAAACAATGTAAAAACTTTTTAAACTTGATTTTTTAAATAGGAATATTTGATATTAAAATGTTATAGGTAGGATTGAATCCAAAACCACTAATATAATACTTCAGAATTTTAACTACTCTACCACGTCCTTTTCAATTAATACTTTTTTTTTTAATTTTATTTAAGAATTTAAACCTTTAAAAACAACACCATACCACATCAAATAAGGAAACAAATATATTAAAAATAAGAAAAATTGAACTGATTCATTAAAATCTCTTTGATGGACGATCAGAATGTGTTCTCATGTTCTCATATGATATCATAAATAAATAAGTAAATAAATAAATACACACACACACACACATATATATATATATATATATATATATATATATATATATATATATATATATATATATATATATATATATATATATATATTGCAAATAAAGTCAAAACTAAAAAAAAAAGTGCCAATTACTTTTACTTTTTTTTTTTGGTGGATTAACTCGTCTTCTTTTCACACTACATATCACAAAAAAGGAATCATGCCCATGAGGCCATGAAGGGAAGTTCTTCATGAAATTGACATCTTGATGTGTATGGACCAACTCACCATTAAACTAATGCAATAAATATTATTTTAAATAAATAAATAAAAGAAGACTATAATTAAATAATCAATACATACAACTTGCTTGTCACTTGCCAGCCCTATTTGCACAATTCCATAAACAAAGGATTTTGTTTCATAGTGAATACAAATATTTAATCGTACTTTGCAAGTATAAAATTGTTTAATATTATGCACTCAAAAATTGTTTAATATTATAATGCGCAAGAATCCTTCTTTAATACATTTGTGGATATTCACTATTCGGAGGGGCCGAGGGGCTCCCGCCCTTTATTTTAAAATTTGACAAAATCCGAATAATAATAATATAATCTGCAAATTAAACCTTTTAATATCTCAAACAAAAAAAAAAAATACTATTACTGGCATAGCGGCATAGGACATTTATTAAACTCGTATTTTCCCTGTGCGTTGCACGGAATAAATTTGTTATAATATTTTAAGAATATTAGGATCGATATACAATTATATAAATTATAACATCGAATATTATATTATATAGTGTAATTGAAGATGAGTTAGATCGATTATGTTTTTTAAATGTTATCATTGCTTGAATTCAAGCAAATAATTGTCAAATTAATAACTAACGTGTAGATATACGCATCCACTGTTGAAACTTTAGAGATTTTGTATATTAGTGTTTAGGATTTGTATTAATTGGGCTAATTAGCTGGTTGTCTATCAACTCAGTTATAGAAATTACTTGTACGGAAGATATATATTTTCTATGTAGATATATAACAATTTTGTCATGTTTGTATAAAAAGAAAACATAATATCACTGGTTTGAATTACACATTATTGAAAACCTCTTTGTAGACAACATTGTAGTAGTAACATAACAGAATTTTGTCCATCATCGTCCAGAGCTAAAACATTCAGGCAACAGGATGGGTGACCCAGGAAAAAGTCACATACACTTGAAGGGCAATCTCATATCTGAAGGGGTAAGAGACATTCGGGGGATACGAACTTTGGTTCATTGATGTGTCTCATTAACTATTCTTGCTTCGGCAATGCGATCTGCCAATCTTGTGACGATGAGGCGCGTATCGTTGCAAAGACCAAGAGATCAGAGTGGTCTATGTTCCGCAATAACATAACAGGTAGTGCACCAACCTTTTATGTCAATGAGTGATCAGAAATGCCAGACAATCTCAAACTATTTAAGAATTCAGGAGTGTGTACTTCTGATAGATTTTCACTGTCTGATTCTACCTTACACAAAGAGTCACAACTTAAATATGTTCAATCTTCTGTAGTGCTCATGCCGTACATGTACTGATTAATTTGATCAAGAATTAATAGGAGGATTTTACTTTTATTA